TGAATTCCCTCACAGACTGAATTATTCTCTGGCTCCCTTTGCACTAGGTTACATGTTTTTGTAAGTTACTGCATTATGGTAACAATTTTTTCCCTCAATGTGTTTCCTTTATTTCAAAGGTACATGTACAGTATTGTACATTTCTGATTCATCTTACATGTATCTGCCCATTACTGCATACACTGTAACATGGGCTAAAAGTTGTACATGTACATAATTGGACACAATGAATATTCTTGTTACCTGTGTGTTTGAAAATGTATTAATGCTAAAAGCAGAAATATCTATAGTTAAACTTTTCCAACTCACCATTGTAGCAAATGGAATGGCTCTGGATGCGTGATAATAAATGGCGATAAAATTGATCATGAAAGCTGTTCCACAAACCAGGAGGGGGAACAACACAGCACTTAATGTCATCTGCTTTATCCACTGTCTCCCTGGAGAGTGAATTTGTCACAATTAATGCAAAGGAGATGTAGAGAATGTTTCACTTGTTGTGCTGTACCATTAATTTAATGGAAGTGTTCAACAGCAACAGTGACTTGCTCAAAGAGTGGATACATTGAAGCAATAAATCCCTAAACTGCTGTATACACTGTACATAATTATAATTATTATGGATGGATTTTATCTGTAAGATAGAGTACTGTACTTAAGGATTTATCTTACGGATACTGATACAGTAGTTACGGATTTACTATGGATCTACTCTTTGGAGAACTCAAGTCAGAGATACATGTAAATAATGACTGAAGATAATTTTGACACATTTTTGACCAAAGTGTATTTTGCCAAAACTTGATTTTGTGCTGGGCTGGTAGGAATCTTATTATGGTTACTCTTCTTTAATCTTTAGCAATGAAGAGACTAGGATTACTGGTGGTTTTGTTAAGGTTTTCCAATCATTTCATTTCACTGAATATCCCATTGCACTTATAGCTGAAACACCTGGATAAACAAAAGATGGCAAAAATCATCCTCAACAATTCTACAGATAGTTGAGCATGAAAGGTCAGAAACTATTTATTTTTAATTTATGGCATGATCAATAAATCCTTTTCAGAAAGAGGTAGCAAACAGACCTCCTTGTCTGGCATAAAGACTGCCTCCCATAAATCCATTGACAGGGGCTGTGGCTGCATAGACAAATATTGTCGTACTCAGGATGGAGCCACGCCTGCAATCAATAAAAAACAAGTTAGCATCCAGTACAATTACATGTATGTTAAAAAACTCTGTTGTGCTTACATGGGCAAATACATCTTCAGTATAAAGCCAACAGAAATGAAGAAAAAGTATGCATTGCACAAGTTAATTCAGTGTATATGACAGTGTACATGCAGAGATATCAAAAGACTTACGAGGTGTAGAGGTCTCCCATGATGGTGAAGAAGATGACACAGGCAGCCACAGAAGATAAGTGATATCCTGTACCGATCAGGCTAGTAAACAACAAACGGTGTGATGCTGGTCTGAAGACATCTCCGTGAACCTGCTTCCAGCCATATTCATCACCAAGGTCCCTCTCCTGAAGATCAAGACATACATAGATGCACATTACACAACAGGTGTCACTCAACCTACAGTACATGTACTACATGCAAGGATTCATTGCACAAAAATTGGAAACAGAACTAGTTACTGACACGTAAAAATAAATCTATGACAATCACTATCATGGAAGCATTTCCATTTTGGGATTCAGACTGATAACGTTAAGAATTTCCTTACCATGTCATCAAGCTCGTCATCTTTACTGTATCTTGCATAATCTTTCCTCAGAGTTCTCATTAAAATCATGGAGACAAGACCAACAAGGAAAATAACCATCATGAATGAGTTAAAGATTGAAAACCAGTGGATCTGAAAAGAAATGGAGGGCAACATGAATGTACATTACAATAAAAAAATTAATAACAGCAATACATGAAAAAAGGCAAATTAATGCAGCAATTGTATACTGTGGGGCCAATCAAAAACATGCTGAACAAATGCAAACACATTTAAATAATTTCGTCACAAGTAGCTGTACAAGGTGACTGAAATTGCTCAAACATGCATGTGCAATGAGCTGAAGGTCAAACAGTGCAAGGAAAGCTTTAAGCAAAAAGCTCCATTTTTCAACTACACATAGTTCGTCTTCATTATTGTGCCATTATTTCTCATGCCGGTCTCAGTCTGTACCTCTTTATGTGTAAAGTTTCTCTCATTTATTGATCTACAGTGATTGTATTGCTTTGAGATTATTTTCAATTCAAATGTACATGTATGCACTTAGCAAAATAATGTAAAGCTAAAAACTCTAATTCCAGCCAGAAGGCTGTCACATTGAAATTCTTTTTCAGTTTGTTTCAAGCCTGGTTACTCATCAACATTTACAAAATATCTTACTCTGTGCTGAAAGAAGCTTGGATCAAGGTATTTGTCATATCTTCTTTCAAAGGGAACCTTCGATTCTGTCCATTTTACCTAACAGAAATAAGATAAGACCAATAAGACCCTGTTACAAAAACAAATTATATGTACATGTATACTAGACAAACTCCTTTTACTAAAGATAAATATTATAAACTTAAATTTCTGCATTTTTCAAAGAACAGATTTATGACAACCAAAGAGTCTACACACCCAGGTAAATGTACATGTAGATGTAACATACTGAGGGTGTGCAATGAAAATTCTCCAGTGTAACATAAAATGTCTACAGATAAATTAACGACAAATGGTTTACCTCATAGGTGAAGCTGAGTTTTGAATTAGGAACAAGCTTGGCTTTAGATTCACTTGTCAAGCTCACGTCCACAATCTGATCATTGTTATAACTGATGTCAAGCTTTTTGTGTGTCCATATGTAGTACTCGTCTTTACTCTCACCAATTTCACCAACAATACCTGCAAAACATCACAAAAAAGAATTTAAGTACAATGTACTACCCAAAAAGACAAAACCAAATGACTTTGATGAGTATACATGTAGCACAACTCAGAAAAAAATTGAATTCTAGCCGGCCCTTCAGAAGCAGCTCTCACATTTTTCAGCCTGGGGCAAGTTTTAGTTTACTTTTTTTTTTTATTTAGATGGCAGATGACTTGTCTAGGCCCTTGCCCATAAAGCAAGTGAGAATGAAACGTTACTTGCTGGTAGACACTTACATGTACCTATTGAAGGTATTAAACACCACAGTGTACATGAAATGTTGTTTTCTAAGATTTTAAGGGATCAGTACTTTGTACTGTGCCTAACAAAACAAAGTGTAGTTATCATTTTGTAAAAGTAACCTACATGCACATTTTAATTTGCAGCAAAATTTGCACCCTGCCTCAGAATATGTTCATTGTCTAATCACTTGAATATCCAAAGTTGTCACAAAGTTTTTAAGTGGGTGACTTAACAAATTTCGTTGGAGTACAGTAGATGGCCGATTTTCATGGTTAATAAAATGAACACAATTCTAAAACAAAAATACAGCAGGATTATCCATTAATTTGAGATAGAGAGAGGAAGGAATGGCGATAACATGTACATGTACAAAAGATTTCAATCAGTTCAGAAACACTTACCCCATATTGGCAAATCATCTGCAAATAAAAGTAAAAAAAAAAAACATCTTCAGCCATGCATTGTTAAGCACACTTATTATGTAATGTACACGCCTACAGACTGAGTCATCACATTATTTGTGAATATTGTTGTATTTGTGGTTGTATTCAGTGACCAGCCAAATGGGTAATACATGTATGTCTGGCCAAAATAGACATTAGAAAGGACTTGCATCTACTCTGGACTGCTAGAGCTGTATGCAGACTTAACAAATTTTATTTCCAGCACCGTGCATCAATAAGTAATGGTCTGCATGTATGTGTATCCACTAAAAGATCTTCACCAGATCAAACACTCTAACATACCTATGTACATCTGGTACCAATAATGATTCTTCACAGCGTACACCAAGGCATCATGATTCTCTTGGCTTAGATCTATTTGACAGTACTCCAACGGTGGAACATTAACTGAAAACAGAATATGGCAATATTAGCTCACCAGTTTGTCTGCAGTACAGTGCACATCACATTTAGTTCAAGGAGACACTATCATGGCAATTTTGTTGAATCTATAGTCAAGACACTGCAAAACTTATGACTAAATACCTTCTCTCAAAAATTATATTGTTACGTGTAATTATGCAAATTTTAAGATTTTACTTTCATTTTTTGGGAATTGTTTATAGCAACCTTATTGTTTTACTTAGAAAGAAAAAAATTGACAAAAGTAGCACTCTCAAGGTACATGTACATGTATTGTGTAACCTTTTAACTCATTATATCAACCCAATAACTTCAGCATGTTTATAAATTATTGCAATTTGGCTGCATTAAAAACTAGTAAGATCATTTTTTTTTTATGGCTATCATCATAGGGTAAAAAATTGTAAATCTTTAACATTTTGACTTTTCAAAGCATGCTTGCCAAAATTGCTCCTTAAATATTGTTGTGTATGATCTACACAAAGCTGACATGGCAACTCAGTCACTTAAGCAAAATTAAAAGTGGAAATCTGACATGCCAAACTTACTCATTTGAGTGCTTTCTTTTAACAATGGCATAAAGCTCAAAAAGTTAGCTTTAATAATTGACACGTTTGTGTGTCATCTTTGTGCTGATAATCACATGTAGTTGAGTGTTTTACCTACAGTACTGAGCATTTCAGCTTCATCAGTCTGCTAGTGATGTAGCTGAATGGCATTTTCAAAAACTAATTGCTTTCTTTCATGGACTGTATAATAATTTGTTTGTGGTTTTAACAGAGAGCTTAAACACCTGTAGGCATTTTCTGACCATGAGTGTCAACTACATGTAGAAGCTAACGTTCTTGCTTTGAGCACATTTTCACGCCCAACTGAGTTGGAAATCTTTCAGTTTACCTTTTACAACTTGACCTTTTGAATGAAAAGTCCATATGTGCAAAGAAGAGGAAATTTGACTTCCAGTTCATGTCTATCCAGGGCTGTGCTCTAGAAGTACGTGGGTGCCACAAGTAACCAACTTTCACCTTGGGTGACTGGAAAAACCTACTTTCTTCATACGATTCAAGCTTAAGTGCTGGGCACCCAGGATTTCATGGTTACACTGTAGGAACATTTGGGCTCCTTGTAATTTTTCTTAGACCACAGCCTTGCTACATGTATCTCTGGAAAACTCCTGTATTTATGCACCCCAATGAAGGAATAGAAATACATTGTACAGTTCAAAATTACCTTTAAAAGAAATGTCAATGCCGCTGAAGTCAAGTTCAACTCCTTGAATAGCTTCACCCAATGTTTCGTGATAATGACCGATGTCCTTCTTTGTCCCTTTACAGAACGGCAGTGAGAAGTATGTGTACGTTTCCTGTCTGTTGTGGTATGGACCCACTGTATTCATCCACAGTACCACCTCTTCACCATCTTGGTACTACAAACACAGAAAAACAGAGCCTTCAATATTATTTGAAAGAGGTGACTCTTCTGGCGCAGCAACCGTTGGAAAGTAATAAGAATGCTTGTCTTTCTCTCTAAAGGGCCAGTCAATTCTTGAGAACTGTTATTTGTAACATTACATTTTTCATCTCAGTCTCCAGTGGGTGCCAGGTCTTACTGAAAGCACTAATAGAATGGTGTGAGGGTACAATATATGTTACCAAAGAAAGTTGTTAAGTGAAAAAAGATACATGCACCTGAACGATATTGTATCATCAAATGTAAGGATATGCATACAGTAATACAATTACAGGGGAATCCTGATTTTTCAGACCCTTGAATTTTTGCAAGCTGGATTATTCGATGACAATTTTTGATCTCTTGGCAAAAAAAAAAGTTAGCAAAAATGTACACTCTATTTTGTAACCCTACCAAATTCTCAAACCAGCTTCCATTTCCCTAGATGGTTTGAAAATCTGGAACTCCCTGTATGATAGCTGCATGAATTTAATGCAGACTCACTTGTTCCTAGTACTGTTAATGATTATATTTTATTTGATTCCCAGTCAAGATAAAGACGAAAATTAAAGAACCTTGAGAACCAGAAACAAACAAATGTATCAAAATCAACACATGTACATGTACTGCAAAAATCACAACACACAGACATGACCTTTGAACCAAATAAAGTGATGTTTAGTCTTTAAGTTTAAATTTCAGAGTTTAAAACAATAATAGTTCTAGTTTAAATTTCAGAGTTCAGCAATTCTGGAAAGAACAGCAAAGGTATTAACAGGTTGACGGCAACGTGGAACCGATCATAAGCTCCAAAATCGATGGTGTACACTATAGATATGCACCTGGAATAACCCAGTAAGCCAACAGAACTAAATTTAAAAATGCAAAGTGTACATAAATTGTGCCTGCAGTGACTGAACAGCCTGTGAAAGAAGTCCATGTGCTCACCAATTATTTCAAACTACCACACAATTTAAACAAACCGTAGAAATCATTCATGGACTGAAAACAATGAAAAGTCCGATTATGATTATGAATGATTGTGAAATATTTTTTGAATTTTGAAAAAGTTCACTGAAAAACAACTGCAAAAGCAACTCCTTTATGTGTAATTTACATTTATGCGGGGAACTGCAATTTAGTTATTAGCTGTATGTATATAAATGTACATCCCCACCTTTAATTTTACCTGTAATTTACTAAATGTTAACACAGTTAGATCATTGAGCTACTATGACTTGGAATATTCGTTAATTGAAATTTTAGAATGAAAGAACTAACTGACACTGATCAATGCTCATACATGAAGCTACATGTACTGTATACCTCGATCAGTTCATTCTATAGTATAAACAACTTAAAACCAACAGCAAAATGAAGACAAAGATCGCGCCCTATAATCGTAAACAAACAATGTTACCCCAACTATAGATTTCAAAACGTCATCACAGCAAAATTATTCACGTGAAATGACGCACAAGACTCAAAGCCAAATTAAGAAGCATCATCTTGCGCCTTAATGGCAATCGGACAACAACACGGAACACAAAACCTGCATCGAAGCACAACCCATAAAAGTTCAAGTCGGTGGTGATGTGTCAGCTTCTCTTTAATTTCGTGATGATTCGATGCACGACATGAACACAAAGCAGAAAATTAAGATCGATCGGATCCCAAAGAGAATCCGACGTCTTACTAAAATGAATTTGAGTGTCCTAACATAGCCCATAAACAACACGACAACGCAGAAACGGATAGGCTCGGTTGGAGAGAGATAGAAGATCAGATTTAAGTGTAACTAATATTGACCTACTTTATGTGTATGTTCGTCTCCCGTGATAGCCTCCAGACTCAAAATAACAAACAGAAATAGCACACAGTTCTTCCCAGATGTCATACTTTCAAGAAGCAGCTACATGCAGGACGAGATGGCTCTTTAGTCGCTGGATTGCAAGTAGAATCTCACCCAAGATTTAATAATGGCGGACGTCGGAATAACAGCGGCTGCAAATAGGAGACTGGGCACTAAACGCCACGTCAAGGAGAAAACGAGCGCTGTGATCTCTGGGTAGAACAATCGCTTGAAATTTTTAATTAGCCAAACAGCTGATCTAACGTGACATGCTTCTGGCCAAAAACAAAAGCAAACTTCTGGTGGGAGAGGGATCGATTATGGTAAAAGAGCAGGCCGCAAGCTCAGCTGAAGGCTGGGAGGAGAATGGAAGGAGATTGTTGAGGCTAATTAGGGAGAGAGAGAGCCTTATAGTTCACTCGTCAGCCTTCTTTTTCAGTTTAATTATTCTCAACCTCAGATCTTGTTCACTAGTGATTTCCATTTTAAATGTCTTCACTGTTTTTGCATTTCATTGATTATTTTTATTGCCACCCTCAGAGGTGTCTTCTTAGGATCGATCACTCTTCGGTTTTAATCTTAAATGTATCTTACCGAATTAGGGTAATCTCACAGCCTCATCTGGGCCAGCAAAGAATTTTACGGGCAAAAAATTAAATGCGGCCAACTAAACGCAGCTAGAATTGAACACTTCCAACAGTGTTTGCACAGCTGTTACGTTAAGACAACATGGAGTAAAGTTTGAGATAATGTTCAGTCTACCCAAGCGTGTGTCAGCAAAGTGAAATACATACAAGACTTTATTCAGGGGTTAATACTAGTAGTAATCAGAGATTGTGAGAGTGCGTTCGACGCTCTCACTTTAATATATAATTATATATCGAAAATAAATGATTTCACTAGCTGATTTTCAACCTTTGTCTATTGCTAAAATCAACATTTTTCAGCAGCAACCGAGGTTTTACAGT